GTATAAGGTGCCTCAAAAATATATATAGATAGATGCAAAGATTTTAAGGAAAATATTCATAAATTGATTTTTAATTAAAAGTAACTATATGGAATTAATCCTACAAGTATAGAAAACAATTAGGAAATTTACTACTACAATACCACTTTTAAGGTATTATTCAACAAATACCATGAAGACAGCTAATAAAATCTAAAATACTTCAATTATCCTTCAAAAAATAAAAGAACACTTTGTTGGCAAAACAAATATAACACTATTTGCCAGTGTTATACTAAACATTAAATAGGGGCCGAGGATATAGCTTAATGGCACAAGTGCCTACCTGGCAAGTGCAAGATCCCAGTACCAAAAAAAAAAAATTAATAACAGGCATTTCTATAAAAAGCACTATTCAAAATGAATCATTAGGGCTGGCGATATAGCTCAGCAGATTAAGCGACTGCTTAGGGTGACAGATTAAGCAACAGATTAAGCATAGGGACCAGGGTTCAATCCCTGGTCCTGCATGCCGCATAGGCTCCACCCCCAGGCACACTGAGCCAGCCACTGAGTCCAGGTGTGGCAGTGCAAGCCTGTAATCCCAGCACTGGGGAAGCTAAAAACAGAAGGATCACTACCAGTCCAACCTGCATAGTGAGACCCCGTACAAATATATTTTAAAAAAATAAAATGAATCATTATTAGGTTTTAGAAATTAGTTTGTGCAGTGAGATATGAAAGGGATAAGTTTTAAATATTGAAGAAAAATTGAAAGGTCTCACCTCAGAGCAAACATTATACTGAAGACCTAAAGGAATCAGCTAAAATTTAATAGAAAGTCAGGTATGGTGGTGTATGCCTATAATTACAGCACTTGGGAGGCTGAGGCAAGAATAGTTTGAGGGCAGCCTGACTTACATTAGAGACTGTCTCAAAACACTTGCTAGAAATTTTTCAGTTTTCTGGAAAATTGCTATCTTTGTGAAAGCTGTTTTTCTCTGATAAATTAAGAAAACAAAAAAGACCAATTTTTCTTTTTAATATTGCTTGGTTGAGGGGCCAGCCAAATAGCTTAGTGGATTAAAGCACCTGCAATCTTTTTGAAACTAGCCGTTAATTGGTAGGATTATCGCCCTGACTAACTATATATGCTGATACCTGTGAACTAAGCAACTGCACTGAAGATAGCAGTATGTAGTAGTAGGGTCATGCTTGGAATGCCTGTCATTCTGGTCTTCTAAATATGTACTGCTTGTCATTTGACACACCAATTACTGCCATACTGTCTTTCAAGTAAATGTTTCTTTAAAAAATAAAGGAGGGTAAGAAATGAAAAAAAGAGACAAGAAAAAAAAAGTCACAGGACTGTCTGGCTACAATGCTGTATATGGTTAGATTTCTAAATTTCTGTATAAAAATATGTGATTGTTTACTACTACTTTTTTTCACTTTTTGTTTCTTTTTTCACATTCTGTAGGGATTTAGAGTTTAATATATCAATACTTGATGGAAAATACCTGTTCCATGTTATGTCTAAGATGTTTGATATTCAGATAATGAGGTTAAGCGCAACTGCCTATGTTATAGGGTAATAATATCATTAAGCTTCTCTTCTGGAGGATTACCAACTTAAGTTTAAGGACCTAAAATTAGTAAAAAGAAGGGTTGCAAAGGATAGCCAACATTTTGGCCCTAGCCATTCAAGGTCAGTGAGGACTCAGGACATAAGCGAACCTGTACTGAAACATCATGTAACTCAGTTGTGTCCCAAATTTTCTGATCAAGGAGATTATGGGGCCACAGAGGAAAGTGATCAACGAGGTAAAGTGTGCCTAAGGAGAGTCACATTGAGAGAAAACATTCTCTCATGCTTTCACAGAGGTCAAGTTGGTCAAGCAATGTCCGTGATTTATCCACATAGCTGACATTGACTAAGGATCTACAAACTGTGGTACAGGGTATCAGGGTAAATCCTGAGGGATCTAACTGATCTTATCAGATACAAAAGTTACATTTCTTGTTATATATGTCTTGCTTTATCTTGGTCTTAACCATTCAGCAGAAAGGTAAAAAAATGAGGTATAAGGGCTGGTGAAGCCATGTTGGTATGCTGGGCTGTAAAGGGCTCAGGTGAACAACTTCTGACATTGCCAGTCCTGCGGATGACCCACTACTCTTATGGAATACTGGACTATATTAGAACATTTTGCTGAATTCACACACCTACAATATTTAAATGACAATGGAATACCCTTCTCTGACAAAACTAAACAAAAAAGGGGGATACAAATGAATGACCATTTTGTATCTGTATATACAAAATGAGATAGATGTACAGCTACTTTCTCTTAATTCAATGAGAAGAAAGATTTGTACTAATAATGTTTGGACAGAATATCATGTCAGAATCTTGTACTATGCATAACCACTAAGAAGATAACAGTATGCAATGTATTAATTATTGAAACTCTCCTACTAATCGGTTTTGGAACTGTCTCATTGATATTTGTTTCTCAATAAAATTATTAAAAACAAAAAAATTAGAAAAATAAAGATCTGTTCTTGTGTTGGACTTCTGGAATTTTAACTATTATGTATCATGAAAAAATAAAATAATCAACCCCTGGGCCTACTGTGCCAGCCCCATGCCCAGGGCATGCTGAGATGGCAACTGGGACTTGGCGTGGTGGCACACACCTGTAATCCCAGCACTTAGGAGGCTGTAAACAGGCCTATGAGTCGGATCTAGTAGTGAGACCCTGAATACCCTGTAGACACTTCCCTAATAATTAAGAAAAAAATAAAGCAAAAATTTTTTAAATATATACATATATATTGTTTAGTGGTATTTTAAAGTTTTCTTAGATAACCAACGACACAGAACCAGTATATTTATTTTTTATTTATTTATTTTTGTTTGTTTTTTTCTTTTGGCAGAACCGGAGACTGAACTCAGGCACTTGCGCTTGCCAGGGAAGAACCAGTATATTTAAATGCACTAAAGAAACAAAGGACAAATTGATAACAAATATACAATGATATAGTAAAATATTAAGTTATCTTTACTATTTTAAAACATATACAGGCTTGTGAAGAATTGTGCTTAGAAGTCACAGGGTTCTAAATACTGTTTCCTCCAATAATTTTCAGTTTATTTAAAAATAGGAAATGTATTCATATGATTAAAAATCCAAAGAGTATATAAGATTTTATAGCAAAAAGTCATTTCTCATGTCCTCTAAATACTCAGCACTCTTAGAAGAGATCTGAAAATACTTTTTCATGCATTCCTAAGTCTTTAGAGCAGACTTTCACCAGCAGTTTCCTTATTCAGTTAAAAAGTCTCCTTCAATAAATGATTAACAGTATACACCTGAAGCATCAAATAAGATCATAAGAAATAAGATGACATGTGTCAATAGCTGGCAGATTTACTTTAAGGAGCAGAAAAATTCAATCCTTTATATAAGACTCTACTGCGATAAATGATGTTTATCTTGTGGCCTAAGTAAAACCAAACTGCTTGGAGTAGGAAAGGAAAACTCTATTTTAAAATATTTTTATACTAAAATACAAGTGATAAATTACAGATTATATTGCTAACAGATACAACTAACAGTTATTATCTTTATATATGAGGAGGCCTAAAAATGGCAACCTAACAAAAAGCAGAAGATATGAAAAAAAAATATGAAGATATGAAAATGAAGTTCACAGAAAAAAAATATAGAATCTAATAAAGTCATAAAAAGATGGTTTTTCAAGCAATGAAATACAAGCTAAAAGAATCTAAGGGTTAAAGAAAAAAATCTAAAGGTTTTACCACTTCAAGATATAAAAATTAAAATAGTAATGTTGGTAACAAGGAGGGAAATAACACATCCTCATATATAACCAGCAGAATATACATCATTACTGACTTATTAAAAGGTAAATTGGCAATTTCTGTCAAAATCTTAAAATCTACTCCTAGAAAATTATCCTAAGAAAGTATTCACAAAAGATGAGCTCAGATAAACTGCAGCCAAGAAAATTTTCCATATTGTGATACAATAATTCCTGTATCTGTAATGGACTAAGACAGGTTTTTGTAAAATGACCTGAAAGATCTGTGCCTGTGCTGCTGAGTAAACACATTACATAACATTATTAAAAGTCTAATCTAATATTGTTTATTTAATGTGTGTGTTGGAGGGTTTATCTTTGAAATGCCTAGAGAGAGAAATGCACAGATTTACAACATAAAATTAATAGTGGCTTATCCTAATATTGTTTAGACAAGATATCATGTCTGTATCTTGTCCTCTGAATAATTACCAAGACAATAATATGCAATGTATTAATTATTGTAACTGACCTACTAATCTGTTTTGAAACTGTTTTATTGCTATTTTATCTTTTTTTCTCATTAAAAAGAATTAAAAAATAAAAGAATAGTGGCTTA